GGCCATCCTGCAGGCCCTCGGTGCAAACCTCGATGTCTCCGCGGATTTCTACGGCCGCTTCCACTTCACGCTGGAGGTAGGGCCGCATGGAGGAGCCATCCCTGCCGGGGCGCCTGAGCCTTTCCTGGCGGTCCCCAGGCCCCAAGGCTGCTGAGCACCCCTTTGCCCCTCTGCTGGGTGGCCTGGCCTTCCTGGTCCGAATGGCTCCTGCCTGCCAGCCCAGCTGTGTCAGCAGCACCTGGCCGCCCCAGGCGTTGGCATCCCGCCCCCCCCGCTGGCCAGGGGAGGCAGGGGGGCTGGCTTCTGAGCTGGGGGGTAGTGGGGGTGCTGGGTGTGAGAAGTGGCTCTGGTTCCACCCGTCTCAGCCTGCTGGCCTCGGCTGGCTCTGCCTTCTTGCCCTGCCCTAGGCCCTGGTGAACTTTTTCCATGCGGAGGGTCAGGGTCTGCCCCTGGAGAGCCTGAGGGACGGAAGCTACAAGGTGAGGCCTGGCCTGTGGGCCTCTGACGGGGGGGAGGGGAGCGTGCACAGGGCCCGCGCTCAGCACCCCTGTGCCCCCGCAGAGACTGGAGGAGGAGCTGCGTCTGCACCAGTGCTCCACCCGCGAGTGCATTGAGCAGTACTACCTGGACAAGCTCAAGCAGGTAGCGGGGCCCCGGGGGCGCGCTCGGCCTCCCCCCGCCGCGGGGTCCCCGAGCCCTGGGTCAGCAGCCTGAGCCCTTGCGCCCTTGCGCAGAGGTGCCTGGAGCAGAAGCGGTCCGGGCGCCTGAGTGTCCGCTGCCACTACGAGGCGGCACAGCAGAGGTTGGCTGTGGAGGTGCTGCATGCCGCGGACCTGCCCCCACTGGACGCCAACGGTGAGGGGCTGCTGGCGGGCGGGGCTCGGGCGGGGCTCAGGCGGTGGCACTCACGGCGCCCCCTGGCTGTGACCCTCAGGCCTGAGCGACCCCTTTGTGATTGTGGAGCTGGGCCCACCACACCTTTTCCCACTGGTCCGCAGCCAGAGGACGCAAGTCAAGAGCCGGACGCTGCACCCTGTGTACGACGAGCTCTTCTACTTGTGAGTGTCCCCCCCCGCCCTGCCCCCAGACCGCCCGTGCCCGAGCGGGGCACCAGCTCCAGGCGACTGCCCCTCGCTTGCAGCTCCGTGCCAGCAGAGGCGTGCCGCCGCCGCAGCGCCTGCGTGCTCTTCACGGTCATGGACCACGACTGGCTGTCCACCAACGACTTCGCAGGGGAGGCGGCCCTCGGCCTGGGCAGCATCGGTGGCATAGCACGGCCCCAGGTGGGAGGGAGCGTGAGGGCCAGGCAGCCTGTGACCCTGCACCTGCGCCGGCCCAGAGCCCAGGGTGAGTGAGGGTGCAGGGGTGGAGGGTCTGACGGCGGTCAGGACTCACGCTGGCTCCTGCTCTCCTGCCTGCCTGCAGTGAAGTCAGCGCTGAGGATGCTGGAAGGCCGCACCAACAAGGAGGCGCAGGAGTTTGTCAAGAGACTTAAGGAGCTGGAGAAGTGCATGGAGGCGGACCCCTGAGCCCCTCCTGCCCCAGGCCCTCCCCGAGTCCCTGCACTATCCTCACCCTGCCCTGCGGTCAGCTTTGTGCAGCCAGGGCTCGCTCACCCCCACCCTGCCGTGTGGTGTGCATGCTGCGGCTGGCCCTCCAGCCCCTCCCCCCCGCCCTGGCCCTGTGTGCTGTGTACTGTGAACCCTTTGCATCCAGCAGGCACCACCCCCCCCATCCTGGGTTTGGGGGACTAACTCGGTGGGGCCTGGTCAGCAGCTGTCCCCCTGGATGCGGAGCAGGGCAGGCCCGGCCACCAGGTGAGCTTCCCCATCTGCTCCCTCAGCTTCCACTGCCCCAGTAGGCAGGCACCAGTCTGAGAGCAGGGTTCTCAGTGGGGTGGCTTTGCTTCCTGGGAGAGTTAGGCCGTGTCTAGAGACATTTTTGGTGGTTACAACTACAGGCTGAGGGAGGTCTTGCTGGCACTAGTGGTGAGACCAGGGATGCTCTCCCCAGCAAAGATGGGCCACTCCCAGATGTTACCAGTGCCACAGCAAAGAGCCCATCTTAGAGGAAGCTCTGTCTTCTCCTTCTGGGGCGGGGAGTGTGGCACAGCCTTGCTGGCCAAGAGGCAGAAAGGCTCAGGTTTGAGTCCGGACCACACAAGCTGGCAGGAAACAGCTCCCTAGGGCCCTGGTGGAGGGGAAGGTGGGCACCCAGAACCCTTCACCCAGAGGGCGTACGGACAGGTTTGCTAAGAACTGCATAGGTCTCACTCCCCACCTGGCTCTGAGGCCTGGGAGAGGGTCCCCGGGTGTCACTGTGAAGCTGGGGACATCACGCAGAGTTGATCGGTCAGTGTAAGGAGCTCTGTGCTGGCCACGCAGCTGTCCAGTGTATTCTCTGTGTCCGTACACACCTGCCCGTGCCAGACCTGCCTCACGCCCGGCATCACCACGGTCCAGACCCTTCCCAGGCAGGCTCTGCCTCACTGGAGACTGAGAGTCATCCCCATGCCATCCACCCCCATCCCCAGGTCAAGTGCAAAGAAAGAGGCTCACACTGGGGTCTCCTTGGCCTGCAGCTTCATTGGGAGGGCTGGAAGGCCCCAGAGCACAGCTCTGTCAGCAGCATGGGGACAGAGTCCAGTGCTGCTCAGTGCTGCGGGGGCTGAGGATGCCAGGCCCGTCTGTGTCCCCACAAATCCTGCTACGTCTCCAGTTCCTTACTGCTCCGCCATGAAAAGTAAACGTGTCTGCCACCTTTAGTCTCTCTGCCGTTTCTTGATTCCTTTCCAAACCTCTGCGGGGGCCCTGGCCTCTGCCCCCTGTCCCAGAGGACCCTCCTCCTCAGAGCAGCTACTGCTGCTGTCTCCTCTGTCCTCGGCTCCAGGCCCTCGCTCCTCAGACTCGTCCTCACTGTCACTGTCGCCACTGTCTGCAAGCAGCCTGGAAGGGACAGGTGTGTTTGCTATGGGCGCACTCACTCACAAAAGCCCCCAGCTGAGGGCAGATTCTCCTATTCCCCAGGTTCTTAAAACCAACACCTCTCCAATGGGACGTTCCCTTTTACACAGTCACAAAACCCTCGTGCTGCTGAGGGATCCACCCCTCCTCCCCACCCCTGCCATCCGCGGGAGGGGCTGAGGCCAGAGGCAGAGGAGAGCCCTGGGAAGCCCAAAGACCTACCGGGTGCCAGCCACTGGCCTGTTGGGGTTTGCAAACTCTCGCCCAGAATCCACGTCAAAAGGATCTGAACAGAGAAACCAAGCAAGAAACAGACCTACAGATGAGCTCAGAGCACAACCAAGCCCCCCAAATGCTGGGGTAGGAAGCCCTCCCCCCACCCGCTTCTCAACAGGAGGTGGCATGCCTGGAGGGTCCTGGCTCCCAACCAGGGGGCTTGTGTCCACGCCAGGCCTCACCGATTTCCTCCTCCTCGGGGCGCTCCTTGGCATGGGCCAGGAACTCCTGCTGGGCCTGCAGCACCTCCTCTGCACTGCTGCAGGCCGCGTAAGTGTCCAGGAGCTGGCGGTTCAGGTCTAGGAAGCCCTTGCCCCACTTGAACTTCCGCAGCAAAATGACAGCAAGGTCCGAGAAGCCTGACGGCGAGGACACCGGAAACCCACGAATGTCGACGATACCTCTCCCATCCCAAGTGTGTTCCCAGCACCCTCAACGCTGTCCCCACACCCGAAACTCCCCATCAGACACCATCCTATGGTGCAGACAGCCTGCCTGCCCTCCTCTGCCATTCGTGAAGGCCCTCTCCCCATGTCTCATGGGGCCCCCTGAGCCTCCACGGGGACCATACATTCTCTGAGGGCAAGTTGAGGGGTGACAGAGGTGGGGCTGAAATCCTGGCCTGTCCACCTTGACCACCCCACACACCCTCACATGGCTCCTGGGAGGTGCCAGCAGAAAACCCATAGCTACCAGTGTAGCCAGACTTGACAGCAGGCCGGCGCTCACCCAGGATGCAGAAGGTGGCGGCAAAAGCCTCCACACAGGACAGCTTGCAGGGCCGGCCGTAGTTAACGGGGTTGGCAGCGACCAGGTGGGGCAGCAGCCGCAAGTGGCTCCCGCGCATCTTCCCAAACGGGGTCTCATCCAGTCGGGCCCAGGAGCAGTCGATGACAGCGACCCCACTCTGTGCCACCAGCTGTCTGTTAGGAGCAGAGCAGGGCTAGGTTCTGGAGGCCACGTCCCTGGAGACTGACCTCACCAGGGACACAACAACATCATTTTTCGGCCCCCAAGCACCCCCAACAGTGTGTGTCCCTGCAGCAGACTCCTTTATTCACTCGTTTACTGAGACCAACTATATCCTGCGCTAGGCAACCGGGGCAAACTAGACCAGTACACCTAGGTGAGCCCGGCAAGAAGGATGCGCCAGGGTCCCGGGCTCAGAGCACAGAGCCCAGTTAGGGACCCCGCCCGCTCCCCGCCCGCACCCCCGCCTCCCCGCTCCTACCTGTCCGCGGGGGACACGTACTGGGAGCCCACGGGGCTGAGCACGACGCCGCCGAACCTGTGGCCCAGGCGCAGGCAGCGCACCAGGCCCAGGCGGGCCAGCTTGCGGCCAGTGCAGCGCCGGGGGTCGCAGTGGCCCAGCTCCCACATGGCCAGCGTGCAGGGTAGCCGCGCCGGGCCCGAGCTGCCCTCGTCCTCGGCCGCCTCTGGCTCCACGGACGCTGCACCGGGGACGGAAGGATACCGAGCCTCAGGCGCAGCTCGGGGGCCACCCTCAACCCCCGGCCCCCAATTCCCGGGCCCGCGATCGCGCCCCACTCACCGCGCAGCGCGGCGCCCACCTCCTCCGCGAAGGCCTCCAGGGAGCGGCCCGCGGGGTGGCGAGCGCGGCCTCCTTCAGCCCCCAGGCCCCGCGCCGTCCTCCTCCGGCCCATGGCTGACAGCTGGGTCTCGGACTCCGCCGCGCTCACAGCTCGGCCCCGGCCGGGCCGCGCGTGTCTGCGCACGCGCCGAGCGCCACTTCCGGCCCGGCGGCGCCCACGTGACCGCGCGCGCGGGGAGCGATGGCGGCGAGGCTGGCGGGCTTCCTGCTGCTGCTGGGGCTCGCGGCGCCCGGTTAGTGTCCCTGCGCCCCGGGGCCCCTGGCGTGCGCCGCCACCCGCCCGCCTCCTCACCGCCCCGTTCCCCGCAGGGCCCGCGCCCGCCGCTGCCGCCAAGATGAAGGTGGTGGAGGAGCCCAACGCGTTCGGGTGAGCGGCCCCGCGGGGCGCGGCGGGGCGCGGAGGGACAGCCCAGAGCCCGGCTCCCCCTGACCCTGCCGCTGCTCGCAGGCTCAACAACCCGTTCCTGCCCCAGACTAGTCGCCTCCAACCCAAGAGGGATCCTTCACCCGTGTCTGGTGAGTGCGGGACCCTGGCCGCGGACATGGGGGCGGCCAGCGAGGGAAGCGGGGAGCCGGCGCGGGTTCCCGGCTCGGGTGGACGGGGGCAGCCTGGGATGAGGGCCCTGAAAGGGCCCGGAGGCTCGTGCATTCGTTTGTCAGCCTTTCAGAGTTTTGAGTGCACCAACGTTAGTATTCCAGAACGTTCTAGTACGAGTTAAATAGTTACCCCCGGATTTAGTCCTCTTTAATTCCTTTTGTGAAGGTGATCTCAGTTAATAGTTGGCCACAGACGTCTTTTGTGCTTTTACGTGCGTAAGTGTACAAGGAAAACGTGCATTAATGTGGTTTGGTGCTTTCTGCCGCTATTTTTTAAAACGTATTTTTTGCCTTTTTTTGAACACGGACTACACAGGGTTGCTCATTTGCTGCTGTTGCTCGCCGTGTGTCTTCATGGTGGTGAACACTGGCCTTCACTCTTCTCACTTGATACTTAGTCTTTCATAGGATGGCGCTGCGTCCTTTTATCGTCAGATGTTACGTTTAAATTTGTTGGTCGTTAGAAGCAATGCTGTGGAGAACATCCTTCCGTTCGGATTGTCCGTTTCTAGGCTGTGTGCGTGGTTTCCAAAGGCAGGATCCCCGAAGTGGAATGGCTGGGTCGTCAAATGAGAAACACGGGAAGCAAAAAACCTAGTAATGTTTTTTATTGAGTACCACTGTGTGTTAGGGTCTGTGGTGGGAATGCAGAAATGAGCAAAACGTAGAGGGCTTGTTCTCCCTTCGTGACAGTCTAATGGGGGGAGTGTGCATGTGTGCGCCAATAAAGAAGTAGGTGAAACGTAGAATGCTTGATGAGAAATACTCTGTAGGTCTGGAAAGCAGAGACGAAAGTGTGTGTGAAGAGGTGAGTGTTGTTTTGGGAATTGCTATTTTATTTTTAAGATTTTATTTATTTATCTGGGACAAAGACACAGCGAGAGAGGGAACACAAGCAGGGGGAGTAGGAGAGGGAGAAGCAGGCTTCCTGCCCGCTGAGCAGGGAGCCTGATGCACGACTTGATCCCAGGACCCTGGGATCATGACCGGAGCCAAAGGCAGACGCTTAACGACTGAGCCACCCAGGCGCCCTATTTATTTTATTTTTAATTGTTATTATTAAGTAAACTGTACACCCAGTGTGGGGCTTAAACTCGAGACCCCAAGATCAAGAGTCATATGCTCTAGGGACAGAGCCACTTAAATAGGGGAGTCAGGAAAAAGCTGAGAAATGACATTTTGGCCAGAAGCTGAAGGAGGAAAGGACATGAGGGAGGGATGGGGTCTCTGGGAAGAGGAGTCCCACAAAGGGCCGGGGGCAGGCGAAGGCCTCCAGCAAGGACGCCCAAGCCAGAGGGACTGGGGGTGGGTAGGATGCACTCAGGGAGCAGATGTGAGATTTCACTCTAAACAATTCTATCCCTGTTTTTTATTACGAAAAGTATTGAAAAGAAAAATGGAGAAATGGGACAGTGGACACCCGTGTGCTCTGCACCTCTGGGAACGGTTCACGTTTGCCTGGTCCTCCTCTCTTTCACCATTTTGAAAAATGTGAATTTCCATTTTGCTGAACCATTTGAAACTAGATTACAGACATTATGACACTTTATCTGTAAATAGTTCCAGGATGGATCCCCCACCCCCCCAAAATTAGTAGTAAGTGTGTAAATAGTCCACATCCCTCAGTCGTCTCGGTGCCTTCTACAGCTGTCCCAAGCCCCCCTGCCCCAGGATTAGTCAAGGGTCACACGTGTATTTGGTTAATCAGGTGTCTGTAATCTTAAATCTGGAACAGGTCCCTCTACACTGTACCCCCTTTAAAAAAGGCTTTCATGACTTTGACTTTGGAGGAGTCCGGGCCAGTTGTCTTACAGAATGACCTCCTGGATTGCTCTGGTTTAGGTCATTTGCCTGGTTCTCCTTTTTTTGGTGTGTGCTCCGTGAGTGGGGAGATAGGCTGGGAAGCTTGATTACTGTCAGGTGGTCAGGGTCAGCGGTCTGGACACAGATCCTTCTAGCAAGGCAGTGGACCATGTGTGGCCTCATGTGGGAGGGCAGTGCGTTGTGGCCAGGGTCCCTCCACTGTCCACACAGGCTTCTGCTCTTGGCATGTGGGCTGCGAGCTGTCCCTGGGCTCTTGAGTGACCGCTGCGCCCAGGAGTTTCGCGTTCTTCCCCGAGGGAGGAGGAGAGTGCGTGCCTACTTTCTGCCTCTCATGCCGCTGCATCTCCTAGCAGATGGCCTCTGACGAAGAATACCCTTCCTCTCCCCTCTTTTCTTTTTGAAGATCAGCATCGGCTCATTTGAAACTGTATTTTTATTGAGCTATAGTTGACACCTTCAGTTTGATGAAATGTGGCAGTTGATCACATCCATGTCCTTGTTGCCCAAAACAAGGTGGAGAACAATTTCATTAACCAGAAAATGCTGTGTTCCTTTCCACATCCTCCTTATCGCTTTCTGGTGTCTGTCACTGTAGACGAGTCTCCTTCGTGCTTGGCCTCCAGCTACATGGAGTCCCAGAGCATACGTTCCCGTGTCTGGTTTCTTTCCAGCCTCGTGTTTCTGGGACTGATCCGTGTTGTTGTGTGTATCACTGTTCTTATTGGTGAGTCCGTGTAAAAACTGAAATTGAGTATGGCCCATAATTGCTTCTGTCATGCCTACGTCAGTGTCCTAGTTGAGGTGATGAACCAGAGCTGGGTAAGCATTGGGAGAGGCTGTGTGTTGGTACATGGACCGTGGAGTAGGAGTTTTGCAACTTCTTGTAAGTCTCATTATTTCAAAAAGCATACACACATATATGTGTTTATGTTGGGAGATCCATGTGACTTTAAGTTTCCGACTGAAATGTAGTATTACAGGGCTGGGGTTTTTTCCCTACGTTTTTCTAACATTGAAAAGCTGGGTTCTTTAATCACATAAATATATTTACTGGCTAATTCCCCTAATCACAGAAAATAGCTTTGGGATTATAATAACAATACTACTAGTAACATGAAATGAGTGGGTGAGGCTTGAGTTTTTATGCAGTTCATTTTAGGATGTGTCCAACCAGGGACAGATGTCAGAGCTCTGTGGTGCAAGGCCGAGCATATCCGTGTCTCCTAATCTCTTTGACAAGCACTTTGGGTCAGATGTTTCTACCTGTGCTCAGTGGTAGTGCCTGCTATACATCTTTTTCACTTTCGATTTTCACTAACTTTAAAACCCTTTTTTAAGTTTTTGTTTTTTTAAGAGTCATTTATTTTAGAGAAAGCACTCAAGAGCAGGGTGGGCGGGGAGAGCGGCAGAGGGAGAGAATCCAAGCAAACTCCTCACTGAGCCCAGAGCCCCACCTGGAGCTCGATCCCATGACCCTGAGATCATGACCTGAACTGAAATCAAGAATCGGATGCTCAACCGACAGAGCCCCCCAGGTGCCCCGATTTTTACTTGAGTTTAAACAGTTTTGTGATAGGGCCGATTTGGAGCACGGGGAAAGTGGGAGGGAAGGACGTTGAGGCCCCCAATCCCGGCACTCAGCCTCAGCCCTCACCAGCAGCCCTGTTCTCACCACGTAGCTCACTGGTAAATCTTTTGGTCGTCCTAAGGGCATAGCCATGTTATCTTCTTCACGCTTTAAAAAAAACGAACACCACCACTAATTCCTTCAATAAAAATCCTGTCAGTGCCTTAGGTTTCTAATGGTCTCTCATCGTTAAGAGCTGGTTTGTCCAAGTTGGTGTTTCTGCTCCGTGTGCTGTGGCCTCATGGACTTTGTCTCTGGATCTATAGCTCCCCTCCCTGTTCGCTCATAATTTCTTTATTGAAGAAACCGGGTCAGTTGTTTCCCACATTCTGAATTTTGTTCATTGCGTTCCTGTGGTGTTTAACATTTCTTCTTCGTGTTTGCTGGAATAAAGACCGTTGTTTTTTGTTTTTGTTGTTTTTCCTTTCCAATCGGGCGCCTTTCATTTGTTTTTCTTGTGTCTTGCACGGGCCAGGCCTCCTGTGCTGCTGAAGAGCCGCTCTCCCTTCCTTGCTCCGTGCTCAGCATCCCTCTGTTGGCTCGGGCGTCCCCCGTTGGTCGGGGAGAGGAGGTTCCCTCTTCTGCCTGCTTGCTGAGTTTTCACTGTGCGAATGGATGGGAATTGTGTCAAATGCTTTCCTGTACCTATTGAGATGGTCAGAGAGTTCGCTTTTTCGGGCTGTTTATACAGTGGTTAGCGGGAATTTCTGAATGTTGAGCCAATCTTGTATCCTTGGAATGAACCCCACTCGGTCAAGATGAGTCCACACGTTTTATATATTGCTGGATTTAAATTGCTAATTATTTCTGACCTGCTTTTTATTTCTAGAATTTCAGTTCTTTTTTTCTATTTTCTACATAACTGCTGAGACTTTGTTTATTCCTGTTTTGTTTTACTCCCTTAAACGTGTTGTAATAACTGCTTTAAAATTCTCTTCTGCTCCCAGCATCTGCGCCCTGTGGGTCTTGAGCTGCAGTGGTGTTTTCCTTTCCTCTCCGGTGTGGGTCGCACTGCCTGCGTGCTCACACATCTCATATTTTTGGTGTAAGTTCTTGACGCGGGCTCAGCTGTGCTCCTTTGAAGAGCATGATCTGTTCAGACAGATCTGAGCCCACACTCAGGCCCTGCTGGGTCTCTGGCTTTGCAGGCCTCCCCCCATGTGTGTGTGCAGGGCTGGGCCAGGGAGCCCCGTAGGGCTCATAGGCAGTTTCGGGCAGCCCTGTGGTGCATTTCTTTTTTTTTTTTTTAAGATTAAAAAATATATGTAAAGATTTATTTTAGTGAGAGCGAGCAAGCAGGGGACAGGGGCAGAGCAGAGGCAGAGAGAGAGAGAGAGAGACTTAGACTCTATGCTCATCACGGAGCCCGACGCGGGGCTCGATCTCACGACCCGAACTGAAACCAAGAGTTGGACACTTAACCGACTGAGCCACCCAGGTGCTCCTAAGATTAAAAATATTTAAACTC